ACATTACCTGTGACTTATCCTCCAGGGAAAGGGGGCACCTCCCTTCTAGGGCCTCACAGAGAAAGCCAGACATAGTCAGATCTTATATCCAGGACTCTCCTTGCATTCAGGGGCCTCCCCTGGAACAAGATCTCACTACATCCAAATGGCCCAGGGATATGTCTACCATCTCAGAAGACTCCAAGACCAAACGGGAGTCAAACAAGGGCTCATTCTGTGCTGCTTACTTAACTTCTCTGAACCTAATGGTACTTTGTGCAGTCTGTGCTTGGGAAGTATCTGTTGGGAGGGTTGGATGGATGAGGGAGACAAGATGACTAGGTCACAAACCACAACAGCCCATACAGGATGACCCATTTTTCCTGCTGTTTCCACAGAGGTCAACTAGAGAAAGACAGAACAGGGGAGAGGAGAGGGAGATGAGGCTCTTCTTCCTGGGCTACATCTCAGAAAATGTACTCTATTACCTCTCTTCTAAACCCTTCCCCAGCAGTCAGTCTGGTCATATACTGGAGGCACACTGAAAGAGCATTCCTGGGCACAGAAAAAGAGATCTTACTGAAAGCAAAAGGCCTGAGGATTTAGAGGGCAGATCCTGAGCAGACAGGCAAAATAAATAGCAGCCCTGACATGGCTAGAGCCTCCGGCTCTACCTTCTCAACACTGCCTTACCCAGAGGTTTCCCAGGCCGGCACCCTCCCAGGATCCTGCACTAGTTTTGGCTTTGTTCTATTTTGCTGAAACAAATGAAAAAAAGAATTCAAGAGTTCGAGAGTACCATGGGGTTGGCAAGTCCAAACCCAAAGGAAAGGCATACACATTCAGGATCTTTTTTTTTTTTTTTAGCCAGTATTTTAGAGCCAAGAGTACATTCAGTCGAAGACAAAACCGTGAACTGCTTGGTCCACAAGATAAAGCAGGACCTTAGTGTTTGTACAACTACTGTGGCCTGCCTTTACCACTCTCTGGAGAGGCCCAGCCAAAGAGTTGGCAGGTCTATGTGCTACTAACTCCTGTCACAGTCAGGGTTTGTAGATGCCTGCAGTCCAACTGTTGTGGAGTTTTGGGGAGTGGTCTGTACATTTTACAGCTCTGGAACAGAGCCTCTCTCCAAAGAACCAGAGGATCTGGCCTTGTAGAGCTCAGCCATCACCCCTGGACGCAGCAAAAGACAAGTGGCCCTCCCTTCCTCTCTCCCTCCCTCTTCTCTTTCTTTTTTTTGATACAGGGTCTCACCATATAGGCAGACTGGCCTCAAACTCCTGCCTTTGCCTCCCAAGTACTGGGGTTGCAGGTGTGTACCACCACACCTGGCTCTCTCTCTTAATAAAAGATCCCAGTTGAGGGAAAGCGAAGGAATGATACTATGTTACAAACTACAATGAAAAAGCTCTCTCTACAAAAGAAGTCAGGACAAAGAGTACATACTGTATGAATCCATTTACAGAAAGTTCAGATGTTGACAAAAGCTTCTCCTGGTGTGGGGTCAAGAGCTGCTGACCTCTCTGCTGAAGGAGTAGTAGAAGTGGCACGAGGGGATTTTGAGGCTCTTGATATTTTACTTTCATCTGTGTGCTGGGCACAAGAGTGTGTTCACTTTGTGATCATTCATCAAGTCCAACACCTAATGATTTGTGTGATTACCTATATGATTTTTAATGCGTCAATAAAATGGTTCTTTTTAAAATCCCTCTCTTTACAGAAAGTAGTTTATACTTTTTACTGCCTGCTTGCAGAGTCTAACTCACATACATTGGGCCAAAGGCTTGAAAAGCAAATAATTAAAAAAAAACAAAAACAAAAACAAGAAAACCCCTATCTAAGAGACCCATAAACCTGTTTTCTCACCTTAAATAGATTTTCAGTTTTCAAATTCAATGAGAAGTTTCTTTGGGCAGAATGTCATTGAATTTCTGGGCTTAACCAAGCCCTTCTCTGTATTTGGCCAATCTCTGGATGGGCCAATTCTGCCTGTGGGCCCACAGAAGGAAGGACTAAATTACCCTTAGGCCTCCCAGGTCTGACCCAAGGAGGGCAGAGACCCAGTGAACACAGGGAAAGTTAAGGAAGTTTCTCCAGATTACACAATGAGTTGCTGGTGGGGGCTGTGATTCTCTTCCAAGGATGATCACTATATCCTTCTACTACATCTCATTACACAGGGCCAATTAATAAACATTCTCCTTTGGGCACTGAGGAAAAATGAGCCCAGAGAACCTCACTACTCATTCTCTACATGCAAAGCACACAAAGGGGTTTATTGAGTTTCCCTCCAACAGGAAATCATTTATCTTGGAGAGCTGGGAGCAGGGAGGAAAGTGCTGAGTCTGCAACAGGGTCTTGCGACATAGGCCAGGCCGCTGTTTTATGGAACTGATGCTCCCCTAATCAAAACACAGTTGCATAAATGGACTCACTCCATTTGAAAAAAAGAGAAAAAGTTATTTAAACATTCTAAACAGGGACACACAACCCTGATTAATTTTTAAAGTTCTTTCTCCACTTTCTTTTTTAGAATGTAGCTAAAAATAAAGGCTTACAACTTGAAATAATGTAAGCAAGTAATCTCTCTCTCTCACACACACACACACACACACACACACACACACACACACACACACACACACACACACACTGGTCTTTCCCCATATATGGCAACATTGTTCTTCAGCCTTTGAAAAGGCCAAATGAAGAGATGGCCAACAACCAAAATAATCCTTCAGATAGTTGCAAAGGAGGAGAGAGAACTCTGAAGAGTTGGTGAATGACAAACAATTGCCTCGCTCAATGGGGGTAAATAACACAGAGGGGATGAGTTGCCATAGCACTTGAAAGACAGGGGCACATGCATCTGATGCTGCCCCTCCTCTAAAGATGAAAAACATGGGCACATGCATCTGATGCTGCCCCTCCTCTAAAGATGAAAAACATGGGCACATGCATCTGATGCTGGCCCTCCTCTAAAGATGAAAAACATGGGCACATGCATCTGATGCTGGCCCCTCCTCTAAAGATGAAAAACATGGGCACATGCATCTGATGCTGGCCCCTTCTCTAAAGATGAAAAACATGGGCACATGCATCTGATGCTGGCCCCTTCTCTAAAGATGAAAAACATGGGCACATGCATCTGATGCTGGCCCCTTCTCTAAAGAGGCGGTTTTGCCCTCTGGCCTCAGCACCAAAAGAGCTATAACTGCAGTAATTTAACATAAAGGATTTAAAGGAGGAAACTGGTGCAGGGGCATGACTGAAAATTTAATTAAGGCCCTCTCAGTATGAAATCTGTACAAGAGAGGAGGGCATAGCTCAAGGTCAGAAGATGGGTGGGGACCCATGGGAAGATGCAAACTAGATGCCAGAACATAAGTAACAGAGGTCAGCCCTGGAGGTCAGTGGCCTGTAAAGGGTGGTTATTACAGCATCTGCTGGGTCCTGACAGAAATGTGTCTGTGGATTAGACTAGCATTCCATGTCAAATAGATGCCATGAGATGGGGGAAGACACACTTCCCAACATTTGTGGTTTTCAAGGCCACGTCAGATGCACTGCTGGATGGGAAGTACAGCACTTGCTCTCACTGACATGGAAACGGAGGCTAAGGGACTTGACACCAGGTGTATATGGGTGGTATGGGGTGAGAGTGCTGGAGTAGGGCTGGAAGCCGAGGCTCCCAATGTGTAGTGCAGGGCTTTTTCTACTCAGTCTTTGCAAGAACACTGGTCAGATAGCCAAGTTTGTGTTTGAGTTGCTTCTCAACCACTAACTCACCCTATGATGATTACTTCCCCTCAGCTGATTCTCATCCTCAACTGGAAAACAGTAGGTCTGGGCCTGATAGGAGGAGGGCAGCAAGCAAGAAGGGAGAGACAAACACGGGACCTGAGGGAGTCTCTGTTTCCTATGTTCATCTGTGAGTCTCTCCTGACACGTCAAAGTGATGGGCACAGGGGCTAAGAGTGCAACTCAGTGGTACAGCATGTGCTTAGCAAGTGCAACACCCTGTGTTCCAACCCCAGCATCAAAAGAAAAAAAAAAAAAAACCAAACACCAGGCAGGCACAATCACCACTGTGCTGAAACACAGGGAAAAACACACAGGGAGCCTACAGGAATGATTTGTAAAAGTCCAATGGAAACCAGGCACCCTATAATCCTAGCTACTTGGGAGGCAGAGATCAAGAGGATTTTAAGACGAGGCCAGCCTGGCCAAATAGTTTGAGAGACCCTATCTCAAAAAAAAACCCATCACAAAACAGGGCTGATGGAGTGGCTCAAGTGGTAGAGTGTCTACCTTGCAAGCCTGAGGCCCTGAGTTCAAACCCCAGTACTACCACCAAAAAAAAAAAAAAGTTAGAAAACCTCTTCATTCCCCCAAAACACGGCAATGAGGACCATTGGAGAGGCAATGCGAAGTGAATTTTCATTCTTCTTTTCCACTCCCTAAGTGATGAGCATTTCTTACCATGCTCCAGATTCTATTTCTGAACCACCCTCACGCTTCCTCCTAAATGCCTCCTATTTGGGTAGGGAGTCAATAATAATAACAAAAACAGCAGGCACCACTTACTGAGGGTCCTCAACATACAACGCTACAGGGCCCCAATGACCCATCATCCCTGGTCTCTATACCAACAGTTGAGGTGGATGTGATTTCACAAACAAGAGAACGAAGACCCAAGAAAGAAGTTTAGGACTCAGCTAGGGAAGGCCATCTGAACCACAGGGCAGGGATTTAAACCTCTGGCTGGCTAACTCCAAAGCCTGTTCCCTCTTTTTCCAGCCCATGATGAGGCCTCTAGTTAGCACGCTTAATGCATCAAAGACAGGGTGGGTGATACCTCGTGTTTGTGATTTCCACCGTTGGCATCCCACAGAATGAAATACCTTCCAGGTGGTCATAAAGTTCCCTCACTGAGACCTCAGTGGTGGGAGAAGTAAGCCTCTTGTGCACTATACAGATTAGGCTGAGGTTAGTGACTTCATCTCCAAACTACTAACCTGGTGAGGCACGAGTCCCAGAGAGGTGGGAGGCTCATTCATGCGGTCATCACTGCTGCTGGCGATAGCGTAGCCCCTGATGTAAGGAAGCAATCAGTCTATCAGAGTTCATGGTAAACACACATGAGGACAATCTGGAGGGTGCCAGTGAAAATTATGAGGATAATCAAAACACTGCTTGGTGGGCAACACACACTAGTAAAAAACTCATTTCCATAGGATGGAAAGAAAGAGAGTAATTAAAAAAATGTATATGGCTCAGAATTGGAAGACCAGAGCACATGAGCATTGGCAAGTTGCATAACTTCTCTGTGCTTCAGGTCCATCATCTATAAAATAGGAATAAGAAGGCTGTGATGAATAAGTTAGTTAAACTGCCACGTGCACTGCTTGGCCCACAATGAGCCTGTAAACATTAATTTTCTTACTTTTTCAATAGTCTTATGAAACACCATAGCACATTTTTGTATTGAAAATTTCAATGGAAAGCTTTTTAACTTACCTTCCTTCCAACTTCCTTCCCTAATTTTCCTTCCTTTTTAACTTCCTTCTTTCCTTTTCTTTTTTTAATTCTTTTTTTACTGTACTGGGATTTGAACTCAATACCTTAAGATTGTTAGATGCTCTACCACTTGAGTTATACTCCAAACTTTGGTTTTTTTTTTAAGATACAGGTTCTCACTCTATTCCCCAGACTCAACTGGAGGACTTAAGTAAGCCTCCCGAGTAGCTGGAACTACAGGTGTGAGCCAACATGAATGGCTCTAACCACAACCTCTTAAATTGATATACTACCAAAATGTAGGAAGGAGAAACAAAAGCAAGGACTTAATTGGGCAGAACTAATGCACTCTTTCCTTAAGAATGGTGTGATGCATGGTTATTGTCACAGAAGCGATGTGACACAGCACCTGGGTTTTAACTTATAACCAGGACAAAGGAAGAAGGCAGAAAGGGCCAGGGTCAAGGAAACACAGAAACAGTCCTCAAAGATTTTATTCCAAATACTTCCTGCCAGGAGGTGGCAATAAACCAGTGAAGGCAGATAACAAAGACAAGAGGAGGAAAAACAATGCTCATCCTCACTAAACTCTGGAGGATTCATATTAGTTACATCTGCTACCAAAACAAAACTGTGCAGTAGCCATCTCTTCAACTGTGTAGACAACCTCTGAGTCACACAATAAATACAATATTCATGTGAATTTGTGTATTGACTTCCTTGGTATTAAATGTTTAATTTCTGAGAAATAAACCTTTTAAAATTTTGGTTCTCCTTCTTGTATGATAAACACCACAGCATGGTGATCAAAGCATCCAAAGCCACCTTGGCTGAGCTACATCCTGGCTTCCATCCACTTGCCAGCTATGTGAATTTTAGTCACTTAGTTATCCTCACTATGGCTTGACTGCCCCATCAAAAATGGGACTAATAATTATAGTTCTTTCCTAGTAGGTTTCTTATGAGGATTAAATAGGTTAATACCTGCAAAGTGTTTTGGACAGGGCCTAGCACAATGTGAGTTGTATGTTAAGTGTTTGAAAAATAAAATAAATTGCAATGTATCTGTCATGCTGTCAGGTATACATTTCTGTCTGACATCAGTCTGGCTTGACTGCCTGACAGTTGATGCACAACCTTAACCAGATATTGAGAGGATCTTAAACTACCATTTGCCTTTTTTTTTTCTCTTTTCTTGCTTTCTCTCTTCCTTCTTTTTTTTCTTTTCTTAAATTATTGACCTTATTTTTGAAATTAACTTTTGTCTCACTTGTGTCTAATGCAAGAAGAATTCTTTGTTTATAAATCATAAGGTAACTTGGCTGGAGGATAAATGGTGGCAAAGTCACAACTATGCTCATTTCTGTATCTGGAATATAACAGATATACAATGTGTTCAACATATAGGATACTAAAGGCCCAGGGTCAAGTTAAAATAAAAAACACCAGCCCACTCATTTCCTTCTGTCATGCAAGCCTAGCACACTAAGAGTACTTAGTAAATTTTAAAATATTTTTAAAATTGGTGTGGCATTAGTGGACTAGGCAGACAGGACCAACCCTGAGGCCATGATTTGGATATCGTATGTCCCTCCGAATTCTCAGGCTGAAATATAACTGCCAATGTAATGGTAATGAGAGATGGTGGGCCTTCCAGAGGTAACTAGGTCACAGGTCACTGCCCTCATGAATGCATTAATGTCTTCCTTGAGAGTCCGGGTTGGACTCTCTTGAAGCTGGATGAGGTCTCTCAGGAGAGTCAGGTCTCACTGGACAGTAATTATTTCCCACAGGGCAGGTAAAAAAGAAAGGTTTCCCCTCCTGCATCTCACACATATGCTCTTCTGCATGTGGCCCTTTCCTTCTGCTTCTCCACCATGCTGTGAAGCAGCATGAGGCCCCACCAAAAGTCAAGCAGATGCTTACACCATGCTCTTGGACCTGCAGAACTGTAAGCCAAATAAACCTCTGTCCCTTTTTAACGTACCCAGTCTCAGGTATTTTGCTGAAGCAAAACAAAACACAAGACATAAAAACGTTTGTTTGAAAGAATCAGAAAGCTACCAATGGAGGGAAGAATTAAGAGCCAAGATCTGCAAGAGGGCAGAAGCCCATAAAAGTAAACCAAGCATCTTGGTGTGTTGGGGGGAGGTCTTATAAAGTGACTGCTAACCTCTAAAAGCAAGTGGCCACACGATCAGAAGCTGAACAGTGACGCTGACAAGACTCACAAAGCTGGGCAGAAAAACTGGAGGTTGAAGTCTGCCAATGAGGAGAAACCATGGGAAAATACCCTAGGCTTTGGGTTGGGATCACTGGGACCTATACCCTCAATGTGAGGGTGAACCAGAAATAGAGCAGCTCTAACTGGACTAAGGTATCCTAGGATTGTGAACACTCAGCTCAGCAGTTTGCCAGAAGGAAATGTGAACTGCACCATCTTTACAACTTTTCATCTATGACATCTGGCACTAAATCAAAAATAACTAACCACAGGCTGATGGAGTGGCTCAAGAGGGGAGCATCTACCTAGTAAGCATGAGACCCTGAGTTCAAATCCCAACACCACAAAAAATAAAATAAATAAATAAATAAACAAATAGTGGGTGCCAGTGGATCACGCCTATAAGCATAGCTACTGAGGAGGCAGAGATCAGGAGGATTGTGGTTCGAAGCCAGCCGTGGGCAAATAGTTCAGTGAGACCCTATCTCGAAAATACCCAACACAAAAAAGGGCTGGTGGAGTGGCTCAAGTGAGGGCCCGAGCCTGAAATAAATAAATAAATAACCAAACAGAAGCTGGGGGTGTAGCTCACTGGCATAGCACGTGCTTAGCATGTGCAAGGCCCTGGTGAGCTCCCTTGCACCAAATAAACAACAGAAAAGCATTCAAAGAATTAGAGAAATTTCCTTCTTCCCTCCCTCTCTTTCCTTCCTTTCTTCCTCCCTTCTCCTCCTGCCCCCTCACTTTCGTAGCTCAAGCATCCTCCTGTTTCAGCCTTCCAAGTCACTGAGACTACAAGTTTGGGTCGCTTTTCCCACTTTAAGAAATTTCAGGGCTGGGGGAGTGGCTCAAGTGGTAGAGCACCTGCCTAGCAATTGTGAGGCTCTGAGTTTAAACCCCAGTATTGCCAAAAAAAAAAATTTCATTATCAGTTGGATATGTGATTAAGAAATTAAGGAATTGCCTTTAATTTGTTTTTACATGCAAAAATAGTAGGGATACGTAATAAAAGATACCGTTTTTGTATGAAATGCTACATGGTGGCTATGCTTTAAAATAAGAGAAGGAAGAGAAAAAAGTATTAGGATAGCAATATAGAGAGATGATGACTGAGCACGTGCTGATAATTGTTGAGACTGGATGGTGTATACAACAGGGTTTAATATACATGTCTTCTTCTTTTTAATTTTGGCAGTACTGGGTTTGAACTTGGCATTGCACTTGCTAGGCAGGTACTCTACCACTTGACTCATGCCTCCATCCCTTTTTGCCTTAGCTATTTTTCAGGTAGGATCTTGCATTTTTGCATAGGGCTGGCCTTTGGCCTCCTGAGTAGCTGGGATTACAGGCACGTGCTACCACTGCCAAACTTATTGATTGAGAGGTTGTCTTGCTAACTTTGTGCCCTGGCTGGCCTGGAACCAAGATCCTCCTTGGTAGCAGGGATTACAGGCATGAACCACTGCATCTGGCCTATATCAGGCCTTCTTTCATATATGCATGCATTTTCCATGACAAAAAGTTTTATCATTGCTTTTTTTTTTTTTAAAAAATGGGTATATGAGAAGACGATACATGACTAAAAGTCAAGAAAAACTACAGACAATAGGAACAGACCCATAAGAGAGCAGAGATTCATACACTGGAGATATTTGCTAAGGTCTTAAAAGAAAAACGTGATTCAATATTCTCATGAAATCAAAATCACAATTTTAGCAAAGAGGAAATGAGTAAAATAAGATCAAATAGAAAATTTAGACCTCAAACATATAAGTGATATTAAAAACTCAATAGATGGTTTTAACATGTAACAGACACAAAGAAGAGAGAGAGAGTCAGTGAACTGGAAGATAAGCCAAAAGCAAATAAACAGACTGAAGCAAGAAAAGACAAAATGATTGAAAGACACATTGGTTGATTCTAACTGATATTGTTATTAGAGTCTCAAAAGAAATGAAGCAAGAGAGAATGATTCAGAAGCTACATTTTAAAAGATAATGGTTGGGAATTTTCCACAACAGATGAAAATCAAGCTTTGGATTCAAGAAGCATCAGCAAATAGAGCCAGGATAAACATAGACGCAAGCATATGATGGTCACACCTCTGAAAACTAGATAGTGAGATGAGCTTAAAGCTACTGGAAGAAGCCAACAGGGAGAGAGATGAATTACTGAAAGGAACAGCAATGAGATGAACTCCTAATTTCTCAACAAAGATAAAGGCAGCCCAACATAACAGCACTAACAAATGCTCTCAAAGTGCTGAATGAAAATGATTGCGAGTCTGGAATTCTATCAAACATGAGAAAAATCTCTTTCAAACATGAAGACCATTTTTGGGATAAAAAAAGTGAACTATATTTGTCACTAGTATTTATAAAGAAAATAGTAAAGGGTATTCTTCATGCAGAAAGAAAATGCCCTAGGTCATTTCCTTCACTGTATGAAAAGAAATGAAAAGCAACAAAAATGAAAAATGTTAGCAAAACTAAATGAATACCAACTACAGAACAATAATAAGATCTTTTGGGATTTAAAAAAATGCAAAGAATTTTTAAAAATAAATGTGAAGTCAAGACTGGTTGTCTTCTCAACATCCATTCTCCTCTTCCACCTTCTCCCAATTTTCCTGAGAGGCAATACACCCAGCCAAAACACCTACATTTGTTTGTATTCCTTGTAGCTAGCAGTTAGAATCACTGACTGAGTTTTCCAGGAAATTCCTTCAAAAGGAGGCAGACTCAGCTGAGCACAGCTTTTATCCTCTGGTCATTCCTTTCTTCTAAGCTGTCACATAGAAGCCATATTGGGAGGCACAGCAGCCATCTTGCAACCAGAAGATGACCTGCACAGGGAAGAAAGCTAAGCGCAGCTGTGTGAGTAAGAAGGGACTTGAGCCCCGTGAAATAATGGAGTCCTTGTGCCAGCCTTAGACTTCTCGCCTTTGAGCTTCCTGCTGCGTAAGAAAGATAAAGCCTTATTCTGCCAAGCCTCTGAACACAGACTCTCACATGCAGCGGTACCAATTTATAACATAAGGGATTCCTGTATTGCCTTACCAAAGGAGAGGGCTAAGAAAATCAAAACTTACTAACAGGTCCTCAGGTTCCTACTAAAATGCTTACCCTTCCTTATTACCAGTTGACAGATAACTCTAAGAGAATTCAAAAAGGAAGCAGGAATGAATCCCCAAGATTGCATGGCAGTTTCCCTCAGGCCCAAGAATTGGATCAGATTTTGCTTAATCTATTTTTTTTTTTTTTTTTTTTTTTGGTGGTGGCACTGGGGTTTGAACTCAGGGCCTTGTGCTTGCTAGGCAAACACTCTACCACTTGAACTATGCCTCCAGCCTGCTTAATCTTGTTTTGAGGATAGTAAGAAGAGTATAACTGAGAAAGGGCCTGAGGAGACACTGCTGAGCCCCTCCCAATAATAAAAGCTTTCTTTGTGTACATGCTTACCTCTGAGTAGCCAACTCACCCTTCTGGATGCTGTAGGACAGAAACCATCAATTCTACTGCCAGTGCTCCTGCAATCATGGCCAGGCCTGGACGACTCACAGTGCACTGCTGGTCCAAGGTCCGGTCTCTGGTTGACTGCAGAGAAACAATTACTGATGTGTGCTGCACATCTAGTCCCCGCAGCCCTAGTTGTCTGAGCCTGAAACTCCTCCATGATGAAGCTTTAAAATACAACAGAATGCTCACTGTTGGCAAAGAACTGCCAACAGTTCATGGTTGATTGATTCATGGGAGAATCAAGATAAACAAAACATAGAGCCTAGGTAATTAAATGAGGCAATATACTGAAAGGGAAGAGCAGATTGAACAATGAAAGACTGGGGACATCAACCAAAAGTGAAGGGGCTGCTGTGTCATGTGCTCCTTTAACTGGCTCAACTCAACTCTCTCGTACGTGGTCTTTGAAAAGCAGAGATACAGAGTAGAGCCAGTAGTGAGTCTCTGCCTCATACTGTCCTGCCATTCTAACTGAGCCAATACCTCAGAGTGACCCTGAAAGGGGTGCAGTCATCTGCTATCCTATAATCCTTGGTTCCGAGCTGTCTCTTGCACTGTGGGCACTGCATCACTCTTCGTGTGGTCCTCGGGCTTAACTGCAAACATTTTTGCTATAGCCTGGCTTCAAATACAAGTCTGCACTGGGTCAACTAAAGAAATTCTAACCTTCCAACTCTGGGTAAATTTGAGGTTTTCAGGAATAATTGTGAGTCTATGAAAATTTTACCTTATGAACAGATATGACTGTATCACAATGGATATTCAGTACTACTAGCTGGCAATAACTGAACAGGCTCAGCTGTGTATTCTGGCCCCACGATGGAGATCATCAAGTCACCCTTCCTCACCAAATAGAAAAGGTCATCTTTTCTTTATATTGGGAGGGCATAAAAGCCAGTCATCCAAAAGAGGTTTGGTAGCTAAAGGAGGGGAAAACAGAGGAAGAAAGCAGAAACCATCTGTCTGCTTCTCTGTGAATGGTGTTCTGATCTGTTGAGACAACATTTCTGCAGACTGGCCAGAGCGTGGCGCCGTGCCTGGAGAGCCTTACTTTTGTGTAGTGGGCACTTGCTGTTCAAAGCACTACCACATTTGGTCCACTGTGAGATGACAGGGCCAGTATTCTTTCTCCTTCTTCTAGGTTTCCAGATAAAATACAAGAGGTGCAGTTAAAGTTGAATTTCAGACAAACCATCAATCTTTGAGTTTAAGTACTACTGCACAGGACATACCTATACCAAAAAATTATTGTTTACCTGAAATTCAAAGTTACTTTGGACTCTGTCTTCTCACTTGCAGAATTTGACAAGCCTGTGACATACTCCCACTTTGCAGAGACACAGGGAGCTGAGAGACTACTCAGAATTACCTGGGAGGCAGTATCAAGCCTGGACTAGAACCTGGGTCTTTGGACTCCTTGTGCAGAGTAATGCAGAGTGCTGTCAGGAGTCAGTCTATGCTGCAGTTTCCTCACTTAGCTTCCCCCAAAATGGTTTGCAGCTGTATTTATATTGGTGAACAAGGAACAGCTATGTAATTGAGGATGCCAATCAAGGCTCATAGTGGAATAATGCCATCCCTTCAAAACTGGAAAAGTCTTCTCTTTGTTAAGAGACAGTATTTAAACAGCAATGAAAGAGTTGGGTCTCTCTTCCCCAGTGTACAAGACCCGCATGGAAAATGTTTGGAACTATAAAGAAATCTACTTACATCTCCTGGGGCCACCACATCATTGCAGAAATAGCAGCCAAGTTTGTAACCAGGGATGTTGGCAAAAAGCGAGGAGCCCAGGAGGTCAGCAGATGCCACAGAGTGGCTTGGACACAAGTCCCCAGCTCCCTGCTGCTTCGGTTTCTTCAGACCATGTCTCATGACAACAAATGTGTCAAACCCCAAGGCAGCATTGATGACCAGCTGCAGATTCAAGGAATGAAAGAAGAGTTAAGAGAAACATATGCCAAGCCATGACTAATTTCGTATTTGGTTCCCTTTTAGAGTTTATTTTTTGCATACTGGTGTAACTAGACACTTAACAGCTAATGATGCCAAAGCTCTCTAATACCAAGGACTTATAAAGTACAAAAGACCGGGCAAGTTATCAAAATAAATTATCGCATTCATTTTATTTTAAACAGCACCCATTTATAGATAAGGATGCTGGAAGTCAGAAAGGATAGTTCTATGACTGGCCCAAGGGCATTCTGGTAAGAGGAGGGTGTTTAGAACACATCTGTAAGTTCTCAAGCCTGTTCTTACCACCATTATGCTATACTGTGTTTTTAAAACAGCTTTACTGAGATATCATTTACTCCCCACATAGATTTTTTTTGAGTCAAACTCTTGATATGCCAAGGCTGATCTTGAACTCACAATCTTCCTCCTCTGTCTCCTGAGTGCTGGAACTACAAGTTTCACTGCCATACTTAGCTACCACCACATAGATTTTTAAGGACAGGTTTTTTTTTTTTTTTCATTTATAGTATAAGAACTTTTCTCAGTTGTAATTTAAGTTATTCTTCCAAATTTGTGATCAAATAGAGAATTTTAAAAAATGAAGAAAAACCATACTAGAAAAGAAAACAAAAATCACAAAATTCCGCTCAAATGATTATGACTGGTTGGGGCATTTCTTCCTGCTATTTCTCCATTTTACTCCCATTCCCTTCCCTCTCTTTCTTTCTTCTTCCCTTTTTTCTCCCCCCTCTCAGTGCACAAATAGATACATATGTTTATATATGTGTGTTTATAGACAAACATAACTGATATATACAATAGTATCTCTTACTTTATTAAAATTTTTTGAAAACATACCGTGAATGGCTACATACTATCCTATCATTTGTGCAGACCGTGATTTAGTCAACCATCTAATATTGGTGGCCCATAAAGTTGTCACTGGTAAATAGTAGTACCTCAAAGGACTGTTAGAAAAATTAAACAGATATTGGGTGACAGAGTGAGGGAAAGACAGAGTCTGAGTGGAAGCCCTTTGGAACTGTGCTACAAGGCCACACAAGTCAACCCTCTTTCTTGAGGTAAGGAGTGTGAGGGTGGTGATACATTAGTTACAATCAGAGAGAAGCTTCCCTGGTTCCACACTACCTACCTTCCTCTTGCTTGCAGCAATGACGGCAGGAAGCCACCGACTCTCCCTGGTGTCCATCAATAAGAAGATGACATCATGACTTTCAATGAGCTGCTCTAGTTGCTCCACATCCCTGTGGGCTTGCTCCAAGGTGACGCTGGAGAAGTTCACTGGATGTCCTGGCATGGGGATGCTCATGTTGAACCCTCTGGCATTCTAGGGAAGCATCAATGGATATATTAAAGTCTGAAGTCAAGGGACAGACATGATCTCAGAGCCCACGCTTCCCCACAGCTAGCAGCACATATGCACAGTCACTTACAACCAGAAATTTCTCTGTGCAGGAAGCTGCTGCTTATTCCTTACCCTTCCTAGGCCTTCCATCTCTTAAAAATCAAGATGAATCCACTTAGAACTTTTAGTGTATGTGTAGTGTTTGGGATGGAACCCAGGGCGTCACACATGCTAGCAAGTGTCTGCCACTGAGCTATGCTCCAGCCCTTTAGCCACTGAGCTATGAGCCAGCCACATGTGGGTGCTAATGAAAGAGGGGCATTAAATTTCCACAGAAAAGGAAGTGCTCTGGAGTCACAAACTGCACCCTAAGTCCCTCCATTCCACTGGCCACAGGGAAGTATGTGAGAACATGCTTTAAATCAATTTTAAAACCCGTCACCCACTGGAAAAATAGCTCAGGGGGCAGGGCAAGCAGGTCTTCTTACAAAAGAAAATTTATGTTATAGATTACAGATATTTTCTCCTTATCTTCAGCTTTTATTTATTTATTTATTTTGTGGTGGTACTGAGGTTTGAACTTAGGGCTTCATGCTTGGTAGGTAGGTGCTCTACCACTTGAGCCATGTCTCCAGCCCTTTTTACTCTGGTTATTTTGGAGCTAGGGTCTCACTTTTTGCCTAGGCTGTCCTGGACCACAATCCTCCTATTTTGCACTTCCCACCATAGCTGGAATAACAGGCATGTGCCACTGTGCCCAGCTATTGGTTGATAGGGGGTCTCCTGAACCTTTTGAGGCTGGTCTCAAACCATAATCTTTCCAATCTCAGTCTCCCAAGTTGCTAGGATTACAGGTGTGAGCCACCTGCACTCAGCTTCCTTATCTTCAACTTTAAACCTAATCTCTATGTTTCAAGAAAGGGACAGCAACAATTCCAAAAAGAATGAAAAAAAAATTGCCAGCAAAGCAGGAAAGTATGCTAGGCAAGAATGACTTCAAAAAAGAGAAAGGTTCCAGTCAAGTCCATTTTAACAAGGAGATCACCATGACAGCTATCAGGACCTCATTTCTAGTACCAACCACTGTAATAAATAAATAGTCATAAAAGCAATAACTACAATGATAACAATAATACCTCACTGGCATATTATAACCCACAAGTCATGTTAAATGGTGCTGCTTGATCCAAAAAATTATTAAATATATGACAGACAAGACTGGTGCACAATTATGCAATGCCAGCTCTGATCTTTCGAATAACTATTCCTCATCCACACAAATTTTGCTAGCCTAAATAAATCTTGCTAAAATTTCAAGAAGCAAACATTGGAGCCCATCATTTAGGTCCACACTCTACAAGTGGAATTTAACAAGTTGCAACAAAGTGATTTTCTACCTTTCCTATGCAGTAGAACCATGTAGGAGCTCTAAAAATTCCTGCTGCCCAGGCTTTCCCCCAGGCCAGTTCAACTAGAGTTTTTGAGAGTGGGCCTTGGCATAAACATTTTTTATTACCAGGCTAAGGTATAATTCACATAAAGTGAAACACACAGATGTCACATGTCCAGTCCATTGCATCTTGACAAATTGCAGATTTACCCATCGATCCATGACACAGAACTTTTCCATGAGCCCAGAATATATTCGTGTGCCCCTAGGTGTCAATCCCACCTTCTTCAACAACCACTGACTTTATAAAACAGACCAGTTTTGCCTATTCTAGAACATCAAGCAAATATATTCATGTCTGTGTTTGGCTTCGTTCACTCAGCATAACACTTCTGAGGTTCATCCATCTTATCAAGTATCAATAATACATTCCCTTTTGTTGTTATGACTACAGTACAATTTGTTTATCCTCCTCTTGATGGTTATTTGAATTATATCTGGATTTGGGCTATTATGAGGAAAGCTGCAGTGCACATTTTTGTGTAAGTATTTCAGTGTATATATGTTTTCATTTCTCTTAGGTAAGTACCTCAAAGTGTGATTTCTGGGTGAGTGGTAGGTGGTACTTAATCTCTTGTGGTTGTGTTACAGCAAAGTATGAGAGTGCTTTGCTCCGCAGCCTGACATTCAGCACTGTCAGTCTTGATTGTAGCCATTTTACTGGGTGGGTATAGAGTGTCCCCAGGGCTTCCATTCCTATTTCCCTGGTGACTACTGATGTTGAACATTTTCATATGTTCATTGGCAACCCAGATTTTACCCTGAAGTGCCTGGCCAAATCTTTGGCCCCTAGGAAACAAGTTGGTTTGTCTTCTATTACGGAATAGGAGTTGTTTGTATACTTTGGATAAAAAGTGTTTGCCTGCCAAGTGTGTGTATATATATAGTGAATGCTTTCTCAGTCTGGTCTTTTCATTCTTTTAATTACATCTGTTGAGAAGCAGTTTAAATTTTGATGAAGCCCAAGTTATCAACATTTTGTTGATGTGGTCAGTCTTTAATGGGTGCTAAGAAATCTTTGCCTATCACAAGACCACTGAGCAGCTTTCTTCTGGGAGCTTTCCGGTTTTAATTTTATCTTTTGTTCTCCAGCCTATCTGGGCTGTCACTTACAGACTCAAGTCCTCAATGAGGGCTCTCTACCCTGGATGGTTGGAACTCCAACGGCTCCCAGCCCTGGGTGAGCACTGGAATCTGACTTTACTCGCAGCTCTCTGGGGGGTTTTGCCCAGCTTTATAAAGCCATGCTCTGAGCATGTGCAGTTTACTGTTTGGTCAAAGGCTCAAAAACTGCCAGGCAGTTTCCTCTCTACACATCTCTCTCATGTCTGGCATTCTGTCTAGCAAGTTCCAGCCACCTGTCTGCAATGAGCTCTTAACTACTTCCCTAGCTCAGCAAGACCATGAACATCAACCTAGGCTCTGTTGGCTTGGCATGGGCCTTAAAGTGCCTCTAGGTGACACGCTGGGACAAAGACTTTCCTTTCCTCTGTTCACCCACCCTCAGTCTAGCTCAGGCCTATCTGTGTTACACATGGTCATGGAACTAAGCTCATGCTTCACGCACTGATTATAAACATCTGCGAAATTATTTGCTAATGACTATCTTTCCCACCAGACTATAAGCTCCATGGGGGGAGGAGGAGTTAAGTCCATCTAGTTTCCTTGCCCCTAGGACACAGTAGGCCTTAAACAAATATCTGAAAAATGAGTAATAAAATAACTGAACAGACAGAGGGAATTGCACTGGGCCATGAACAAAGGCTAGGACTTGCATAAGCAAAAATTCAGGCTACTACTAAGTGGTACAGCTTAGATTCAAAATCACATGGAGTGGCCCTAATGGAGTTGCTACTCTCCAGACTGGATTTTCCCCCCCAATTATGCCCTTCCTTCCTCTAGTGGAATTACAAATCCATGCCCTGTTCCATATGACTTCCTCCCAGTAGGAAGGCAGAGTATACTGACAAACCCCACTGGCCTTGGGGTTGGCCCTGTGACTTGCTCTGGCAATGGGAAGGGAAGGCACTGATGTACTGTGATGTGGTTGAGCTGAGACTTAAACAGGCATGAGAACCGTCAACTCCTTTGGGCTTCCACCTTCTGCCATCAGAACAGCAAGGCCCAGGTGGCTATGGCTCTTTAGCCTATTTTGAAACAATCACATTAGAAAGCAGACTAAAAGCTGACATGAAATGCTGAGTCCAGCCCAGCCCAGCAGCTGAACCATAACTAACCTGAACACCGATGAGCACAAAGTAAATCTTCCAGGGTGTAACTGTATGCCACTAAGATTTGGGGATTGTGTGATCTTTAATACTGTGACAACAGAGACCTAACTAATACATCTCCACAATGGCAGGCTTATTCTATTTCTTTTGGCATCCAGTACATACCTGGCTACATAATAGGTAATCAATCAATACTACTGAGTTAAATTCAATAAATGCCATCCCTCATGGGTACCGGTGAAATGAACAAAGCTGTTAAAATTGCTTCTGCAGCAAAGACTTCTGAAATAGATGAATCAATACTGAATATCTAAAGGGAGAAACTTCAGGAAGGCTACAGCTGAAAGCCTCTTCTAGAATTATAAGTAGATGCTTCAAAGATACCTAGTCTGACTTCTGTTAGATACCTGATTAAGCATTCACGATGTAGAGTCTCCTTTATGGTAATCTCAAACAAAACAAAACAAAACAAAAAAAAACAAACCCCTCAGGATTTTGAATTAAATGGAGTCAATGGCTTGTCTCTTCCTGTCTGGTGTTTCTGAAGTAAATGGTGCAGCTAAAAAATATGAAGGTGCTAGAGCAAAATATTCAACTTCTACCCAACCTTTCCTCTACACGGAGATTGGCATTCAATTTCATTCCATAAACCTGTACTAAGTAACTAGTGAGTAGTTTGCTGATAAAGGAAAAGTAATAACCTTCATGTGAACCACCATAAATCCCTTTAGAATCAGGCAAGATATAGAAATACACATTCCTCCAAAAATACTTGTTCATACAATCTTCATTTTCATTAGACTATACAAGAGGGTTTTGTTGTTATTTTTGTTTTCTTTTTTACTGCTGGGGATAGAACCCAGGGTTTCATACATGCTAGGCAAGTGCTCTACCCCTGAGCTACACCCCCATCCCTTGTGGTATTTTTTAATCCCTATCACTGACTTGAGGAATCAGGGCTTGGTCACATTGAGTATCTGGTAGGAAGTGACAGATGTCTGATTGTCTGTCACCACAAAGCTTCATTCCCCAACACTTAAGCATTCACAGATACAGGAAAAACCATCAACATACCACTCCGGGGAATATTTTCTGGAGCCGGTCTGCTGCTGCCAGGGCCTTGGGCTTACCACCTCCTAGACAATCTTCAAATTCATAGAGAGGTTGCCTCACGGGATTGGAGTAAGAGATCTTGGCATTGTCCACAAATGTGACATGTCTGACGCCCCAACCCTGTGTGGAGACAGGAAATCATGATGTGCTTCTAATGAACATTTCACAGGGCCTCTCTCTTGAAATCTCTAGAAAGGATTTTTGTTATTGAGCAGCTTGGAAACCTGAAAAGATACGAACCTTCAGAATGTCAGCTTCCTTTAAAAGACAAAATAATTATATGCCCAGTGCCTGGTTTCCTGCAGCAATGAGACTAAGAAATGTCAGAGTGGGTCTAAATAATAATTCATTATTTTTGATGGTAGCATCAGAGAAAGATTCAGAAGTGAATCTCCAGAGAACTCTGTATGTTGCTGTTTTTAAAAGATTAGCAAGAGCCCCTTAAATTCCTTGATTTCCCTTAATGAATAATGAAGTATAAATAAGCGTTCCTCTTGAGGCTTACTTAAGGCCTCAATTAACTATTCAGAAAAATGATTTATAAGTCATTTACCACTGTATAATCATGTAGAATATTTTGTATTTCTCCAAGATGGAAAAGCCTTCTTGGGGATGAGTTGTTTTCATGATGTCATAGGCTTTGATTTTACCTCCTGTAAGGTTTTATAAAACCACACAATTTTAAAGTTGGATGGATGGCTAAAATCCATAGTGTACCCACTATGTTTTACAGACATGAAAACTGAAGGATAGAAAAGATAAATGACTTGTCTATAATCACACATGTAGGTATGGTAGGAATTATGAAAATTCCACAGATACACCCAAATGAAGATGCCTGCTTTTCTAGGGGGGTGTGGGGGGGTGGGAGGGGTGTATTGTAGCACAACACAAGTAACTACAGGTCTCCCTCTCTGTATTTGCAGGTTCTGAATCTATACATTCAACTAACTGTGGATGGAAAAAAAATATTGGGTCTGTACTGAGTATGTACAGACATTTTTTCTTGTCATTATTCCCTAAATTATAGTAAAATAACTATTTACATAGCATTTACATTGTATTAGGGATTCTAAGTAATTCAGGGATTATTTAAGATATATGGAAGGATATGTGTAAGTTCTATGCAAACAGTAGGCCATTTTAAGTAAAGGAATGGAGCATCCTTGGATTTTGGCATCCATGCAGATCCTGGAACCAATGCCTCATGGATACCAAGAGATACTGCATAATGATTTGAAGAGAAGTCCTGTTATGCCTGGCTACAGAGCTAAAACTGCTCTCTCTCTCTCTCTCTCTCTCTCTTAATTCAGTATCTTTAACTTAGGAATTTAAGACTCAATTAGACTGATGTTTTCAAGGAGACACTGAAGACCCATTATTCATTTCCAGGATTGGAAGTGAGGAGCCTGTTTATTTTGAAGGCCATTGGTAACTTTTGGTTTACCCACCCAGTTTCAGCAGCTAAGCAATCTACCATAGAGGGGAGTAAGTATGTGAACCAATTAAAAATTCCCTTGGGCTTGGTTTGGAAATATTTATTTCATAAGTATTTTTGCATCCCAGAGTAGACAGTGGGGAAGGCAGTCTGGGGACGTGCTGGGCAGTGGGAAGGAGGTCAGATAGACTGCACACATGCCACAGGCTAGTCACATGGAGACAGAATTTCACACTTAGCTTCTGGCTTCCTGGAATGCTACTCATCTTAAAGGGCTAATCTGCAAAGATTAGAGAAAATTACAATACTCAGTGCTTGTGAGGATGTCCTACAGAGAAAACCATTTTACTGCCTGAAAGCACTAAACTGGTATCATTTTTTTTACACATAATTTGGCAAAATATTTCTAGAATCTTAAAAATGTCCACATTCTTTGACCTACTTCTAGCAATGTATCCTAGGAAATAATCCAAAACATGACAAAGATACAATCACAAAGATATTCTTTGTATCATAATTTATAATTGTAAAAACCTGGAAATGGTAATGGCAAACACTAGAGGAATGTCTCAGTAAATGTGAGACATGATTAAATGTGTCATCATATAAGAAGGTATGTCTATGGTCATTAATAAGGTCCTATATACTTGGGCCTCTAGTGTGATCTATGCCTGTAGTCCCAGTGCTCAGAGGGCTATGGCAGAAAGATCTTGAGTTTGAGGCCAGCCTAGACTACTGAGAGACCCTGTCTCAAAAAGAAACAAATGATGCTTACAGGCATCATTTTAATGATACAAGAAATGTTTACAATGCTAAAGGGACGTTGTTATAGATGAAGTACAACTATGCCTCACTCCTGGAACTAAGAATGAACACTGTGAAAAGATCGATCCTTTCTAACTTATCTATAATCTCAACGTCACTTCAATTAAAACAGAGAGTGGCAACAAAGGATCAACGGGTGAAACAGAGAATTTGTGAAGAGATTTTTAGGTATGCAAGGGGATTTGGCATTTGGTAAAGGTGGCAAAATTAAGACTGCGCTTATTGAATAAATGCATTAAAATAACTGACTATACATTTTGTGGAAAAGAACTTGGACCTTTACCTCTCATCATAAAACAAAAATAAATTCCATATTGATGACGAGCTAACAATAAGAACAAAACTTTTTCTGAAAACCATAAGAGAAAAGACTACAAATTTAATGACATAAATACAAAGAAATTCCATATGCGTAAAAGTACCTTGAATAAACTGAAAAAAAAATATTTATACATTACAGAAAAATAGTTAATATCCATAAAAGAAACACAACACAAAGAACATGAATAGAAGAAATAAAACTTAAAAAAAGAAATAAGGGATGACCATCCTGAGTTAAACAAATTTAAATTAAAATATAAGATTTTTACTTTTTATTGCCTGGATTACCAAAGACTTAAAACAGTTGATACTATCCAATTTTGCTAAGGGTATGGAAAGTAACTGTCTCTCACATGTTTTTAAGAGGATAGACTGGAATAACATTTTTGGAAGGTAATTTAGTTTAAAATATATATATAAATAACATAAAAATTCTAGAACTTTTTCCTGAAGAAATAATTCCATGGATATCAAAAGATACAAGTAAAAGAATGTTCATTTCAACAAGCCCTCCTCCAACCAACATTTTTAACTTCCAACCAACATTTTAATATTCTTTAATAGAAAAAAGTGGAAAATAAAGTATAAAGTAAGGACATAGTCATACAACAAAACACCATATACACTTAGTATGAAAACAGAAAAGTAGTCACAATTATTTTTCCATTAAGTTAAAAATTAAAAATTTACAGATCATATGCTATGATCAAGTTTTTTGCAAATATAAATAAATAGATAAATAACAGCAAATTGTGAATTTATATATACCTAGAATTACATCTGGGAAAGATATGCTATGTACTAATCTATGAAGTTTGCTTAATTCTGGGAAATGGGATGTGGGAGGAAGGCACAGGAAGACTTTCTGTTTCTATCTTATAATAACAGCATGTTTTCCTTTTATAATTAAAGATACTGAAAGAAGAAAAAAAGGAAGGGAGGGAGAAGTGGGAAATCTGGGAGAGGGAAAACAATCAGGTAGTATAAACAAAAGAAGCCACAGCTTGAAAGGTTATCTACTGTGTGGCCCCAAAAACTTACCATCAGTGTCCTAGCCACATTACAACCCAAGGTACCAGCTCCCAGCAGAAGGCATTTGACAGACACAACCTTGTCCAAGTCCAAGGTAGGGACCAATCTCCAACACATGAGTTTCAGATTCAGATCCACTGATGACTCAGCTAACCTGGACAATGAGAGATTTATGTATTCAGCCAAGTTATTAATTTGTGTCTTAATCTTGTTCTAAAAGGTAAACTAGCTTTGGGAGAAAACAAGATATAAATAATTAGGAAATTAGAATCAGAGATAAAATGAGATGAAGCTTGAGGATAAATGGGGAAGAGAAAAGGTTGCCATACAGAATGCACGTCATTGTGGTTCTCTGCAATTGCTACTGGTGGGCCACAAATAAGATACTAAGCTCCTTACAGCCAAGGTGAAAAGGGCAGCATGACTGTTTATGGGCTCTCGTGTCCATGAATAAAAACACACCAACTGCTCAAAAGTTCTTCAAGTGTTGAAAACAGAAATTTCTTCCATATCTCCTTAATAAAGAGCATGCTTATTCACTCTTAAGCATAATAATGTTCCCAAGAAATATTTCTTATAATGTCCTTCAGTGAAGGCCAAAGCTAAAAGGCCACACATAAATAAAGAACTAAAAGGTAGTAAGGTGTGCATGCCTGAGAGTCTGAGCTTGAAGCAAGAACAAAATTTAGAATGTCTAGGACAGATAAACTTGTGTCTGCAGGATATCCATCATTACATTAATTCTCACATCCAAACATAAATTAAGCAGTTGAGGGCAAAGGGCAGAACGGCGCTCATCAATATGAATGGCATCCCTTGAACTGAACTCTGCAATGCAGCCTTGGTCTGACACAACCTAGTGTGCGTGTTGGTTATAAGAAACCCCCTGGAGGACAAAGCATACAGAAGGTGCATACCTTTTAGGATCCATACATTCACTGAGGTTCACCATCCTTGGTCCCATGCCTCCTTTTTGGTTCTTTTCCCATCCGACTGCTTTAGGGCAATCTTAAGGCAAAAATCAAACAAAGAACAACAAAATGGTTTAATAAAGGAGGTAGGGAAAAAAAAAAAAAAAGCAAAGCAAGCAGCAAACTTTCTTTAAAAAGTCCAATATTCACAATGGCCCATGCATCAATAAGCTTTTAGTTCACTTCTTTCTTAAAGAGGTTGGAAGGCCTGAATTACCATCTACTAGCCACAGCTGCCTCCCCATCTTCCTCAGCTACTAGGAATTCTATGTACAGACCATCAGATGCAAGCAGTCTTCCTGCACAGGGGCTTTCAGAAATAGCCCTTCACCCTGGCCAAAGGTGCCTTTACTTCCACCATTACTAGAAGTTGATCAAAAAAGGCAGTCATACTCAAGGTGTGTAGAACCCAGAAGAAGGGGCTCAACCTAAGCAAGACAAACAGATGTAACTCAGCCCACCTTCCACTGGCATTCCTACTAGGATTTGAACCTAAGTCTAGTATGTCCTTTCTCTTATCTATATTACCATGTCCCTCTGCCCAACTCCCAAATTTCATTGTGCACCTGCATGCAGATAGATCACAGTTCAACATGATTGTCCCTCTTATTCATTCAGAATTTCCCCTTCCCTGATTTAACTCTTCTCCTCTGCCCTCTTTTAACCCCTACTATGAAAGCCTCTGTAACTCCAACCCCAGCAGTTCCCAAAGTGTGCCCTATTTAATGCTAAACAGACCTGGAAATGCTCCATATTCCCATATTAGCCGCTAATACCACCCAAACCTGTATGTTCACACCACACATGAGGGCCAGGAAAGCTCTGAGAGGCCTGCAGTAAAGAAACTACTTCATCTGAGTTGGTTTTGTGTTTCTCAAGCATGCATGGCTTTCTCTATCTCCCTCCATAACTCTAAAATGCCAATTAAAATCTCACACAGGGAAATGCCACCCTATTCCATTGTTGCAACCTTTTCTTACAAGCCTCAGTTCCATTATAGAACACTCCTGCCATAGCTGTGCAGTAAGGAAGCCTCAATTTCCTGGGTAGAAGCACAGCCTTGTAAATCTCACTAGTGGGGGGCGGCCAGCTCTGTACACGTCCTACTAGTATCTCTGTTGCTTTCACTTTCTCAGAGAATCACTGCTGTTCATAGTAAAGCGTTGACTCTTAAGCAGGAATTCACCCAGTCTCAGCTGCACTTCCAGCATCACTCCAGTATACGCCTTAAGTAAAGGCTCTGGGGGCTGAGGGTGCAGCTCAGTAGTGGAGTGTACATCGAGCACATGCAAGGTCATGGGTTCTCTACACTGAAAGAAAAGCAGCGGGGAGGGGGGGTTTCTGAAGGAATACAAATTTCTTCTAATTCAAATTGCTTCTAATTATGCACTGGTCTTCTTTGGACATTCCTCTAATTTTAATTTCTATTAGCACCTCTGTTTTCCTTTCCTTGGAAAACTTTTGAGTTTTTGTTATTTTTAAAATAGACAGGGCACACTGGGCTCACATCTGTAATCCCAGTTACGTGGGAGGTGAAGATGGGGAGGACAGTAATTTGAGGCTAGCCTGGTCAAAAAGTTAGTGAAACCTCATCTCAACAAAACAAGTTGGGCATGGTGACAGTCACCTGACACCCCAGAAGGCCACAGGAAGAAGGATGACAGTCCCAGGCAAAAAGTAAGACCCTATCTGAAAAAGAACCTAAAGCAAAAAGGGCTGTGTGGCTCATGTGGTAGAGTATCTGACTAACAAGTGTGAGGTCCTGAGTTCAAATTCCAATACTGCCAAAAATAGAATAAAATAGTATGGCATTATGGATCCTAGAAGGTACTGATTTCCTTTATACATCTTTGCCTCTGGGATAGTATGACCAAGGGGAAACCAGACCAATTATCTTTGAAAACTACTTGGTCCCCCATTAGGCCAGGGTATCATTCACAGCAAGAAGCAAACAAACCTGCCTCCCCATTTTTAACTCAGGCACTTGGGAGGGGGAGGGGGATTTTAAAAAATACTATGAAAAATTAAAACTGAAATATATCTTTGAGTTCTTACAGAGATTCAAGTCACCAGAATTCTTTTTCTGGGGAAAAAAAGAGTTCAGATCTCCTAGTACATATTTTAGTATGAATTAGTTATTCCTGGGGTTGAGTAGCAGCAGCACCAGGCATGAGCCACAACAAAGAGAAGGGAATAAAGAGCAAGTCGGCCACTTTCTTATAGAAATGGAGAGAAAGGGCCCTCCATGCAGGATGGTAGGCAGGATAAGTGGGGGACTTTCAAAAGATGCATGGTGGCCCCCAGGGACAGAGATGAGCCACATTTCACTTTTTAGTTAAGTCTCACCTCATCGCCTACACTGTCTTTAAGCTGTGGTTAAGTAAAACAAACACCCAGCATCTACCACGGCATGGAAGCTGTTTTAGAATGTGCCAGAAGAGGGTGCCAAATCAAATGCAAATCTAAAGACAGCAGAAAGGCAACAGATTTCTTAAGGTTCTGAACTAAAACGCAAACAGCTTCCTCCTTTGACCATGCAGGGGATTCTGTCCATCTTTGCAAGGCATCTATTAAAGATATCAAGGCAAGAGTCACTGACAAAATGTCACCTAAGTCAATTCTGAATCCTTTTGTCTTCTGCACTTTAGAGAAGACATGAGGTTCCTCTAACATCTATACACACACACACACACACAAATTTAAGGCACATCCATGGATTAAAGAAAGAAATAAGAAATGTGCTTTCGAACAGTGGAGGTGTTGTGAGGAACAAACAGTTTGTGATGGTTCTCTGCAAGGCATTAAGTCACACAAGCAGGAGGGATTATTTTGGAAAGACGAATGCACCGTGCTTGTATAGACAGTGAGATAGGAATTAGCATTATGATATTAGACACCATAATGTTTAATGCTAGGTGCTGTGCTCAGGTTTTTACACAGCATACAGATTCCATGACTTAGGGATTATTATCCTTATTTCACCACAACCTGAGTATGTAGTTTACCTGTGTAAAATATAAAAATGTGTGTGTGCGTGTTACATACACATACACATACATCCCTCTCTCTATATATAAAATATCTCTTGGCCTCAGTTTGCTAATTTATAAAACGGGATAAGAGCTCACACCTGTCATATAAGGATCAAAGGAAGAGATTAAATGTGGAAGGAGTTCCTAGGATTATGGGTATATCTTACGAAGAACCCTGCCATCCAGTCCCAGGAACTGACTGGTTTACTATGAAAACAGGGTCACACATAACTTTAAGTGTACAACAAATAAATATGTAAGTGCATTAATATCTTATGCTTCCTTTAGGAAGGAATAGGAATAAAGATTTTATGTTAAGCAAAAGTAAAAATGAGAGCTAGGGGAAATATCCTCAAGACCAAGAACACTGCAAAAGATGCAGTCCACCTTTGTCCAGGCTGAACAGCAGAGCATGCCCTCTGTTCTAAGCAGGTGTTTACCCTGGCAGTCAGGTAGCAGATGTCCTCCCTCTCCTGCAATTGTGAGGCAATGAAAAGACAGTAAACCCAATTTGGTTTCTGATAGATGCTAACTACATGCATTCTCAAACCTGGCAAATTACCTGGGCTGAACGCCATTTCTGGAAGCCTCACTTCGAAGACGATGCTGTGGGCAGTGCCTCTGGCCCCCTGCACGGTACGATCACGGAAGCAGAGGACTTCAACAGACTGGAAGCTGCCCCTCCTGTCATCACAACCCGGATGGGTATTTATTTTATTTTTGTTAAGGAAGGAAAAGAAAGAGCTCACATAAGTGCTTCCAAACACCAGCTCCAGAGAATTCAGTGCATTGTCCTCACTCCTTTCCAACACCCTTGGTAGCTGGCCTAACCTTCATGAGATTTTGAACATATTCATACTGGTGTCCTCTGTCCAATTGTTTTAGAGGCTGGATACTGAATTGGTTATGATTTCTTTCTAGGTGAATTTTATGTAGTAATTACATTGCAGAGAAATAATTCTGACAAATGACACTTTTACATGCAGGGAAGAAGTTCTCCCAAGGCATTAAAAAAAACCTCTAAAGACACGAGTTCTTCTGGCCCTCTTCCTCCCCACTCACTCATGACCTTCACACTTGCAGCTTGTGGTTCAGAGACCCATTTGTACTAACACTGAACCACCTGAATGAGCAACATAACCAGTCCCCAGGTGGCAATATGTAATTTATTCTATCTTTGTATTTTGAACCAAACATTTTTATTTAAGTAAATGTACAAAATACCTACATATAAAGGAGTTTACACCACACCTTCACTTGTTGCTTCCCACACCCTCTAAAAGTAACCCGCACTCTACCTTCTATGTCCTCAAAGTGGTTTGCACTTTTGAACTTTACCTAAATGGAATCAGTGAACTTATGTTCTGGAAACCCACCCATGCTGACCTGTGTACCAGGAGTCTGTGCAGATTCGATGTGGCTGAGCATCCCATTGTAAGAAGCACTCTACAACTCTTTGTATAGTTCATCATTGAAGGACATGGGCTTATTCCCAGCTTGGGGAGTACTAAGAGTGATGCTGCTAGACCCGTCTGTCTTTGTGCTCTACTTGCATCTACATCTGCATCACTGTGCGTAATGCACTAGGAGTGAAATTGCTAAGCTGCAGGTACTTTTAGCTTTGGCAGCTCCTGCCAAGCACTTCTACAGCAGCTTTCCAGAGTTCCAATTGCTCCACATTTTCACCTACACTTGGGATGGCCACCTTGGTTAGGTCTATTTGGTGGGTAAATGGTAGTATCTCAGGTGGTTTTAATGTTATTTTCCTTAAAGACTACTTAATGATGTTGAGCATCTTTTCAAATGAAAATTGTTCTTGTAAAGTCCTTGTTTTAATTATTTTAGGGTCAGGGGAGAAAAGGAAGATGGTAGCAACAGGAAAATCCTCTCTGAAAGCAGCCCAGGCCTCCGAAGGGAGGACTAGGGAATGCACAGGCCACCCGCCTTACCACATTTAAAATATCTTTAGTGTAATATCACAGGCTGCAGCTCCTTAGCAGAGTTGTGTAACAGCTTACCAGTGGTGGAAGAATCAGAACTGATGTATTCATATTTTCTGATTATCATGCCAGTAATGGCAAAAGCACATTTGGGAAGAAAGATATAAAAACAGGCAGACTCCTTGACAAAAACAAACAAAGACAGACAGACAGACAGACACACTCTTGTAAATACCATCTGTGGGCTGTTAGGACCAAAAAATTCCTCAAAGGCCATCCAGGGTACTGGGCTAAGTTACAGGGATCATATACACCAACTGTTATCTGTGAACAGAAAAGACTTTCTAAAAATCATGTATCATGTCATTTTCATTAATACAGACATTGCTAATCCTTCACTGTCATTTTTTAGTACTGTTCTGCAAAGCATTAAAAATTAGACACTTGGTAGAGGGCTAAAGAGAAGAGAAAAAACCTACAGGATCTCACTCTAGACTATAGATTATTTTTTAAATTTATTTTTGGTACTGGGGTTTGAACCCAGAGCAGGTGTTCTACTTCTTGAACCACTCTGTCAGCCCTTTTTGCATTGCTTATTTTTGAGAGTAGAGTTTTGCTTTGTGCCAAGGCATCTTGGACCATGATTCTCTGCCTCCCAAGTAGCTATAATTATAGGCTAGACTACAGAATTTGTTGATGTCAGGAACTGCCACGTTCTTCCCTGCATCTCTGCAAGGGGCCTTGCAGAGAGGAGAAAGATTGGAAGGGCCAGAGGGAGGCAGTTCACTGTCAGGGTTTACAAGAGGAAATCATCCTTGGAGAAACATGGGCTGTGAAAATGGCTCATGTATACGTGATGAGAAGAATCAGAGGAGGGCCAGTGCCACTCTAATCCATTAGTTAAGTTCAAATTAAAGAGTCAGATGCCCTGACCTGGTTAACAAATATTTCTTCTCACCCCTTTCCCCTGCCATTTCCTTGTCTGGCCTCTACCTGGAAACCACTCAACTTCAAACACGATTCCTTCAGGGAGGACTTCTTCAGTAAATAGTGTCACTCTGTCCTCTTGCTTTGGCAGAGCTTTATATTATATGTAAGACAGCATACTTTTCTGTCTCCTTCTCAACAGACAATGAACACCCAGAACCAGATCTTGATTTCTAAGTGTAATTCTTCAACAAAAGGAATTAGAGCTCCTTGGATACATGGCTAACTCTAGGGCTGATGTGGGAAAAACAAAATGAGCTTAGAACATCTTATAAGACCAGAAAATAAGGAAATGCTCAAGAAGCAAAAGGATGAAAGCATGTCAGGAGGACACAGAAGCCAGCAAAAAGAACTTTGACAGCCAAGGCTGACGCCATCTAAGCAATAAATAACATGGTGTCTGGTTATAAGTCAATAACAATCCATGGCCCCAATGGTAGAACCCATTCCCTAGCACATGTGAGGCCCTGGGTTCAGTTCCCAGCACTGGAAAAAAATCTGTAAGCCCACACAAATAAGCAACAAAATAAATGAATAATGGTAAAGGGACATGCTTCAAGCTTTCAAACAATACTGTGCTCTTCAGGACAGGAGTTAAATCCTTCCTCTCCCTCAGAGTGACTGAACCTAGGCACTACCTTCCAAAGAAAAATTAGCAGTTTTTCGGTGAAGAAACCTGGCAAATATTATGTTCCCTGGAGTTTAACCTCTCCAAGTGTGCCATGAGGGCATCAGGTATCCTGGTAGGATATGATGACGAGGGTTCTTTGCCTTCCTTCTATAGTCTAATCATATGAAACACAGCCAAATCCCAACCAGGGGACATTCTACAACATAACTAACCAGTCCTCCTCAAAACTGTTAAGGTCATCAAAAACAAAGTCCGAGAAACCATTGCAGACTCAGGGAGACTAAGGCAACAGGACAACAAAATGCAATGTGGCATTCTGGAGGGAGCTCTAGAACAGAAAGGTGATGTCACTGAAAACCTGGTCAAATCTGAATATAGTGTGGAGTTAACAGTATTAGTCTGGACAAATGCACCATGGTAGTGGAAAGTGACAACATGGAAGAAAATTACAACTCCGTGAGGATGTATGGGAACTCTCTGGGTCTTTGCAACAATCTATGTATCTAAAATTATTCCATAATAAAAGTTTAATTTTTAAAGAAAAAAGAAGACGGTGAGTGTGCAGAGAAGAGGGAGAACTTTTTTCATCTTTCTGCGATCAGTCCATAGACATACAGAAGGTATTTAGTGAATGGTTGTTGAATGATGCAAAGATGGACAATAGGAAGAGGGAGGGATTGGCCGGGAGGATGGGGAGGTGGGAATGTCTGGCAGAAACCCAAAAATTCACCCACGTTTCCTTTATAAGTATAGTGTGAGTTAAATGCAAACATGGCTGATATGTTTTTGTTTAATCTAGATCCAGTTAGCTCTGTAAGGATAGAATCCCAGACACTTTCATTTATTTTCCACAATGCTCAGTACAGTGTCAGCCACAAAGTAGGAGCTTAAGCAATATTCAGACTAAAATAAATAAATACCCATAACACCCCCCATGTTAACAGTGGTTAATAGAACAATTAATATCTTTGTATATAACCATCCATAACTTCACTCTTTGGATAAATGTTTCATTACAATTTTTAAACAAAAATGGAATCATGGTATAAATATTGCCTTATATTCTTATTATATTATAAACTCTCTTCCATGTCAATAAATGTTGTTCTACAATCATCATTAGTTGTGGCTGAATGGCATTCCATTGTAGTGATGTACAAAACTTTTTTCTCTTTCCTGTTGGAGGATTGTTTAGTAGTAGACTTCATCTGTTTTCAATAAATCTCAGAAACAGAATTTTACTATTGTAAATTGTCTTATCAGATAAAATCTCTGGGGCTATTTCTCATTAACTCAAAAACCCTATGGCTCTCCACACTCCTCAAAATGGGGTCTATGCACCAGCAGCATCAGCATCCCCAGGGAGCATGTGGGAAATGCAGAATTTCAGCTCCCCTCCCAGACCGCCTCACTCCTCTACAGCTGTGTTCTCTAATGTGAATGTGCTTGGGCCCCACCTAGGGAGCTTTTGAAACTGCTTCCCCCTGAACTTACCTCCAGGGGGCCTCATTACTAAGGCTGGGGTCTGGCTTGAGTGTTTGGGTTTTCTTCTCTCTCTCTTTCTGTCTTTTATGTTGGGAATAGAAACCAGGGCTTTGCGCATGCTAAGCAAATGCTCTACTACCGAGCTACATCATTAGTTGTAAAAGATTTCACGTGACAATAACATACAGCCAGGCCAAAAACCCCTGCTTAATGTCTGCAGCAGTTTCTCAAAGTAGGGACTCCCCCAGACTACCTGAACCATAATTGCCCAGAGTTCACTGAATTTGCACACATTCCCCCATTCTGATCTCATACATCTCTGAGTATCAGCACCTGTGTGTTCAGAGCACACCCCCTAGGGGATTCTAATGTACACTGTCATTTCAGCACCAGCCCCCTAGAGTCCAAGGAGAAAATGAGCATTTGCTTTAAATAGGGTTCATTGTGCCCTTTTTTCCACCTTACTATAACTGATTATTTGTTGGACCACTGTGTTTTATTTCCTCTCTTCCTTCCTTCCTCCTTTCCTCCCTCCCTCTGTCCCTCTTTCCCTCCCTCCCTCCTTTCCTTCCTTCCTTCCTTCCATCCATCCATCCATCCATATTTTCTTTCTTTGGTGGGACTGGAGTTTGAACTCAGGTCTTTGTGCTTACAAAGCAGGTGCTGTACTGCATGAGCCACACTTCCAATCCCCACTGTGTTTTCTTGATTCAAAGACACAATATATTATAACACACTTTCAAATTGTTTCAACTAAAAGGAGGAAACACCACCACATTAAATATACACAAAAATGAGAAGAAATTCCTGATTTTAGAAAAATTAAAGCATGAAGAAAAAAGCACTTGAGGGTGGAGAAACACAGGATGCCTTCTCTGTGTCTTACAGGTCTGGAAGCTGTGAGGACAGGAACGGTATCTGTAATGTTTCCATCCCTAGTAGCTAGTTCAGTAGCCAATGCTAAGAATACATTTGTTGATAGATGACAGAACCACTCAGCTTCTCCAGGCCCCATATATGGGATACCCTCTGCCCCCAAGACTGAAGACAGCTAGAAGGGGAAAGATGATGTCTTACACACAAAACGGTGGCACAGCATCCTGCAAGTTCCTTTCCTTTCCCTCTGTCCTTCCTCAACAGGACAAGCTGTTCCTTTAATGTCATTTTAACACTGAGATTCTCATGGGTGGGAATGAACACAGCCTAAAGGAGGGCTTCCTATAACAAGCAGAACTCTTGAGAATGAGCGCCCAGCCCAGGGCCAGCCCAGGATTTCCTCTAAACTATGCAGTTGTCTTCATGAAGCTCTTTTGATCCAGATGGCCACCACCATTTGCCACTCTTCCACTAGGACACCTTTTTATTCTGTTCTTCTCTGGCAGCCAAGAGAAATGGCATCTGCCAGACAAACCAAAGGTACTAAGCCATCATCGATTTTGACTTCATCAAAAGCATTTACAACTTTTTTTTTAAAGATAGGGTCTCACAATGTAGCCTATGCTAACCTCAAACTCATGGTCCTCCCACCTCAGCTTCCAGAGTGCTCAGATGATAGGTGTGCTCCACCACACCCAGCTGCATTTATAATTCTTTATTCATCCAGAAAAGGAGAAGGCGGAAAATGACATCCCTACTTCTGTGATACTGGAACAGCTTATGCTAATGCAGTGGGCCTGATGCAATGAAAGAGGTACTGGTTGGAAGTCAACAGGTGTGCTAGTTCTGCAGGAGCTGACTTTAAGACCTGGGGGAAATTCCTTACTCATCTACAGAATTAAAGGATTGAACTGTTTGTCTCAAAGGATTCCTTTCAGTCCCAGACTCACAGGAACTTTGAACATTAAAGAGAAAAAAAATTGCATCTAGGTCACAGAACAACACAGATCCCATTAAAGTTCAGTCCACAATGCATCTAAAAGCTACTTAATGGGTTATTTAGGAAGAACGTAGGCAGTATCAATCCAGAAAATGCCATTCCTATAGAGATGTTGAGTTTCAATTCTCAAATGTGACCTGAATCACTTTCATGAGATCTTTGGTAATTGACTTAACTTTGTGTCTTAAATTTTTTGGTCCAATTAGAACAAGGGCAAACACAACAAGGGGATTGGACTTTGAGCACATGAAAAGCGAGAGCACACAAGGGAGGGGTGAGGATAGGTAAGACACCTAAAAAAGTAGCTAGCGTTTGTTGCCCTTAACGCAGAGAAACTAAAGCAGA